TTTATAGGGAACAAAGGTACAGCCAGACAGTGAGCAGGAAGGCTTGATGCTGAGTGTTGGTCTCTGTTATCTGGGCCATGTGTCCTCATTCCTCCCTCCCCACCCCACCCCCAGCTGGAGTGTCACAATTGGCCTTGACCTTCTGGGGTGAGTTACAATAAAACTGCTTTCCTGTAGGTTAAACGTGGCAGCAGTTTATATCCTTTGTGTTAGTTGACATACAGAATTAAAGAATAGGTGGTGTTGCACAGTCTGAAGGTCTCCAGATATTCTGAGTTCTTTAGATCCCAAGAAAGTTGGTTTAGCAGTTACTGTCTTAACCATTTAGGCATCGATTTTCTTTAGAACTTAGAATTGTCAAGCCATGATCATGGGAAGCAAAAGACACTCTGCCAAGGGCAACCCCTAAAGAAGTTGGAACCATTACTTAAAGCCACAGAATCATCTAGCCTTCGAGCCAGGAAGAGCTGCAGAGATTGCTTGACAGGGCACTGCAGTGTCTTGGTTTCTGGGAGAGCTCCATAAGTACACTTGGATTGAGTCGCAGCCCCTGTGTTCTCTACACATCATGTGAAAGACAGGCCTGACCGGGCCCTCACTGGCGGATCTCTTGTGAACATTAACTGAGAATGCCTGCCAGGCTGGTGGCATGTGACCTGTTAATTTGTGAAAGTTGTTTTTATGAAACCCAAACTTTCTTTGTCCAACACTGAGACAGGACTTGTTGAAGGTCACAGAATAAATGAAAATCAAAGCGATCAAGTCTTAGTTTCCTGATACCGCAATAATACCACTCTGTAGCTTTGCCCAGCTGGAAACTGATGTCCCTTAGGCCAGAGACTGGGGACACACATCTAATCCCCTCTCCCCCATGCTGCTGAACTACTCAGGCATGTCCAGCCATCATTTCAGGCAGCTCAAAGGTCAATCTAGGCCATCGTCCTTAGGGGTAAGAAGGAATAAATGCCAACTGCTTAAAGGACCGTTTCCCCTTGAGTCTAAATCTCCCTGTGCCTCAGCTGGCTGCCCAAAGAAGCAATTTAGCAAATGCGTTTTATCTCTGGAGAAATCTGTCTTTTGTTTCTGTGACTTGCTTGTCAGAGCCCTGTGCTTCTTCCTGGTGGATGGAGAGCTGGGTACAGTAGCTTTCAGACCTGTTAATGAAAGTGCCCCCTCCAGCTCTGCATCTCCCCAGAGACATTACCCAGTCCCTGGGTAAAAAAGCAAAGGCTGATTAAGTTGCTAGTGTCTTCCTTAGCCAGGCTGTCAGCAAGAAAAGCACGCCTGCATTAGAATCTGAAAAGGTGCATAATGTAGTCCTAATCACATTGCTTAGGTTTGTAGAGCACCTTCCAGTTTACAAAGCACTCCTACCCACATTAGTTCATTTGAGAAAATTGCAGGGAATCCGTTAAGTACAGAACAGTATAAAGAAGCAATAAAATTTATCTTGGAATCTGTCACTCAGAGAAAAATCTTTGTTAACCTTGTAATGTTCTCTTCCATCTATTTTCTAATATCTTTTGTTTATGTTTTGGCTGTGTTGGGACCATATTTTGAGTGTGCCTGTGTGTGTGTGTGTGTGTGTCTGTGTGTGTCTGTGTGTGTGTGTGTGTAAAGGACTGCTTTGTTTATGGAACATTGTTTTTCCTTGCCCCTGGTTTGAAGTCTAAAGATGGAGACTTCTGAAGCCATTTACCTTAATAAGGAAAGGAAAAAGCCCCAGGCACACACCCATCTCCTGTATGGTCGCTAATATTCCTTCTAGGTGCTGAGGACAAAGTCCTTGTTCAAATCCCCCCAAAGCAGACCTAGTTTCCATCAGCACATTCCTCTCCTTGCTTAGACACACAACTCCACACCCCCTTGCCTTCTCTTCATGAAACTAGAAGCATGCACGCTGGTCAACATGCTAAAAACACAAAGAGCAAAACAAAGAAAAGGAAAAGGCCAACCTGCTCTTGCAACGAGTTTGCAGGGGTTTGAATTCCAAAATGGAAATGGTCATCTTTGCTCTTTTGCAGAGGAGGAGAATAAGTAAATTTTCTCTGAGGAGCTAACAGTCAGGCTTCTAAGCATATTTGAGTTCTCCAAGGAGACGGGTTTGGCAACTCTGGTTCAGGAATCAAGACACCCACCTTCACACACACACACACACACACACACTCCACATCCCCCTGTGCCACCAGGTTCTTACGTATAGGTGTCTTAAGGGACTTAGCTGTCTCCTTCCCTATTTTGTGTCACATCTTTTTTATTATCTTTAAGTAGTTATACGAAGGAGCTGCCATTTAACAAAGCAGTTTACGAATGCAATAAATCTTGGTCCATGTCACTCCCTCAACCACAATGACAGGTGATGCACCATGCCTCACTTCCTCACTCTGAATCCAGTATTCGTGTATGTATTTCTCCCAGTCCCTGCTAGCTTACACTGCTCTCCCCTCTTTACGGTTGACCAAGTTAAAAACCCAGAAAGGTTAATAACATACTCACTCACCCAGATCATCCAAGTAGAAGAGGGAGGAATGGAATCCATGACATCAGTCCCATGTTGCATCTGTAGCTTCACCTGAGGCCTGATTGAACAACTCTCTAGACAGGCAGGTGGTGGTAGAGACTAAAGACCTGGTGTGTGTGTGTGTGTGTGTGTGTGTGCGTGCGTGCGTGCGTGCGTGCGTGCGTGCGTGCGTGCGTGCGTGCGTGCGCGCGCGCATTCTCAAGACCTGTCTGCTATCACAGACCCTGGAATGCAAGCTTTGGCACTAACTGTTGCCTTCAGGATGGAATTCTTACTTATCTTTCATACATCTACTAGCTAGCACCGGAGGAAAATTGGAAGGATGAGCCTTCCTGGTGGCTATGGTCACCTTGTACACAGCACTTGTTTTTTTCATGCCTGCAACATGTGAATATTGAACGCTTGTCATACACCAGGCACTTTATTAGAGCAAACATAAACTGTGGCTGACCAATCAAGTGGTGGCTTGTTCAAGTTGGCGAGATCTCCTATGGAGGTTTCGAGTGAGGTCTTACAGCACAGAGAAGAAGCGGACTGAACCTACCCTTGGCAGAGCCAGCTTGTGTAGGCTAAGTCCTGAAAGGGAAATAGGCGATCTCCAGAGGGAGAATGAGGTGAGGTGAGGGATGGCATTGCAGAGAGGGAAGTGATGACACAGAAGGAAATCACAGGGAGGTGGAGGCAAAGGCAGGTAGGGGGAGCCCAGGAGAGATGATTGGTGAAATTTCAGAGTGCAGAGGGCAAACAGCCAGAGAAAGCAGTGTGTGACCATCCCCTAGGACGTCTGAGTGGAAGCCAGACCATCACAAGGACTCAGTGTAGAATAGGATCTCTGCTTCCTATCCAGGCATTGTGTCTCACATGTGTAAACCCAGCCCTTGAAAGGTTGACACAAGGAGAATCATAGATTCAAGGCCAGCCTGAGCTACATGGAAAGACCCTGTCTCAAAGAAATAAAGATTTGCCTTCTTGGAAAATCATTCTATTATTTTCAGCCAGGTTTGTTGACTAGCCATGTAAATTCCCCCGTCACCTATATGGTATCATGCGACAGACAGATGAGGCAGATGGAGCAAAAATACTCGAACTAGCTGAGTGACTTATGGCAAATTTTTATTTCTTAAAAGTCAGTTTTACTGAATTACAATTTTTTGTATGCCACTAAGCCATCCCTCCAGTTGTCATTTTTGCTGGTTAATTGGAGATAATGGTGTCATGGACTTTTCTGCCCTGGCTGACTCCGAATTGTGATCTTCTGATGTCTTCTGAATAGCTAAGATGACAGGTATGAATCACAGACACCTAGCTTAGATTATAGTCCTCCCTAGGTCTGCAACTTGGCAAGTGTTCACAGATACACACTCAGATAACCATCACACCAATCAAGACAATTCCGTCATTTAATATTCTCTCTCTCTCTCGCTCTCTCTCTCTCTCTCTCACACACACACACACACATACACACACACACACACACACACACACACACACACACCCCTACCCCTACATCTCCTGATCTGATTTCTACCAGGGGATTTTAATTTCAGTTGTTCATCTGTAAGATGAACTCCGTCATACTGTGTGACAGGGCTGTTGAGGTTCACAGGCAAGGAAGCAGGTTAGTCAACTGTAGATCTGTGTGTGTGTGTGTGTGTGTGTGTGTGTGTGTGTGTGTGTGTGTGTGTGTGCAAAGTACTTGTTCCTTGTTTGCAGGTCAGCCAGCTCTTTGCACTAGTTGAGATAGGAAGGCAAGCTAAAGACTTCTGTAAGCACAGTTGGTAGGGTGAGACCTTCAGAAACTTTGAATAAAAAAGGGAAGAGGAAAAACATGGAATGCAGTTAAACACAGGTGAAACTAAAGGGCAAGAGTTTTTGTTTGGCCTATGTGTCTAGTTTTGCTTTTCAATACCTAGCCCGAAGACTGAAACTTGTAGGTCTAGGGAGAGAAGTACAGGTCATGTAAGAAAGCACTTTTTGCTTGTTTCCAAGAAGTTTAGGGTGGATTGTTCATTGGGATGGCACCACACCTAAAAAGACAGGCTCATTTGTTTGGGTGGGAAAGCCTTTTCTGATTGCCTTTTATTTTTTTTATTTTTATTTTTTCTGGTCGTGGAGCCTGAACTCTGGGCCTGGGCGCTGTCCCTCAGCTCTTCAGCTCAAGGCTAGCACTCTACCACTTGAGCCACAGCGCCACTTCCGGCTTTTTTCTTTTTGCTTATGTGGGGCTGAGGAATCGAACCCAGGGCCTCGAGCATGCAAGGCAAGTGCTCTACCACTGAGCCACCTTCCCAGCCCCTCTGATTGCCTTTTAGAAACCAGGTTAAATTGCTGGGGAAATAGGAGTAGCGGTCCTTCCTACGTGAAACTATCAGCAGTGCCCAACAGGTAAGAAACTCGGGGTGGCTCAAGGACAGCAGGCAGTGTCGTGGCCCCTCAGAGCCTTTCTGCTCATCCCCAATTTCCCTGCCCTTCCTTGCAGCTCCAGAAGCAGCTGTCGGAGCTGGATGAGGACGACCTGTGTTATGAGTTCCGGCGAGAGCGCTTCACAGTCCACCGTACCCACCTGTACTTCCTGCACTATGAGTACGAGCCGGCTGCCGACAACACGGACGTCACCCTGGTGGCTCAGCTCTCAATGGACAGGTATGGCCGGCCCCACCCTTCACACAGGCCCCTTGCTGCTGCCCTTTTCCCTGTCGGTGAAATGGAGAATGAGAGATCACCCCCTGGGCTCTGTTCCCACCCAGTCCTGCCAGCTGGGGATTCTCATCTTTTTCTTGCTGTGTTGCTGCTGCTACTGATCAAAGGTAACATAGCAGGAAAGATGGAGTTTGAACCTGACTCCAGTTACCCTAAGGTGAAAGGGAAATGTCTAGACTAGAGCCACTGTGGTCTCAGAGAAGCAATGGCTGTTTCTTTTTCTTCTCTGTGTCTGGATGCAACCAGAAATATTTATGGTGCATTTCCCACAGGGCCAACTCAAGCCTTCTGCAGTTTTCCCATCTCATTGTTTTATCGTCTTAGCCTAGAACAGATTGAGTTACCTGAAGAATTTTGAAAACAAACCCATGAGCCAGTTACTGGCGCCTCATGTCTGCAATCCCAGCTACTTGGGAGACTGGGATTGAGAGGAGGAGGCTTGCAGTTCAAAACCTGCACATAGGCAAGACCCCTTCTCCAACCCAGAGCTGGGTGAAGTGGCCCACATCCGTCATTATAGACATGTGGGAGGTTGACATTGGGCAGATTGTGGTTCCAGGCCAGTCCAGGGAGAAAAGTCTGCAAGACTCCAACTCAACAGGAAAAAGTAGGGTGTGGGAATGCACACCTGTCATCCTAGCTATGATAAGTTTAAAATATATAGATTGTAATCTAGGTGGACACCTAGGCAGGAACTCAGCAGGAAGCAAGATACTATCTCAAAAAATAACCAGTACAAAAAGAAAAACAGGGCTGGAGAAATAGTACAATAGCTATCCAGTTAAGTAAGACTCGTTGTTGGCAGAATCTTTGACATTGTTTTGTTTAAGCTTGTAGTGTGCAGGCAGGGCAACTGGTATTCACACCAGAGAGCAAATCAAATGGTAATGATAATAAGTGCTTTGAAGGAATTGAGACATATAATACCAACATCAAGTTGAGGGTCATCTTTAGGTAATGTATGGTCCGTACATCCACCACCAACAGCAGCATGCCAGTGAACCTGAGCCTCTCCTGCCCTTTTCCAGTGAGAAGGATTCTCTTGGCCTGGGCCACAGAGAAGCTAGCAGGACCTTCCTTACCATTGCTTACACATCTGCCACACATACTGACCACAGAGGTCTCCCTTTCAAAGCACACACATCAGCCCATGAAACTCCCAGATGCATTCTGACAAGTATGGCAATATGACAAGAACCCAAGGAGCCCTAAGACCCCCATCTGAGATACCAAGCAAGACAGAAGAAAAAAGTCTTAGTAGTGACACAAACTGATGCAGAAGGCAGAGGTTCCCACAGCCACTTCTATCCTACCCCTGCACAGCCAATTATGATTCCATACACTGGTGCCTGATGGATTGATTTGCAATTTACAAAACACCTCAGGTGTTTATAAACCTTCAACTCAAAAGTAGGCCCTACATGAAAGCCACAGGGAATTAGGGAAGCCAACCTGAAGGCCCCCAGTGCCTCTCATAGTGACAACTGTGGAACATGCAGGTCTGCCTCTCTCAGCCACTTGGGATCTTTCCCGCTCATCCTAGCCAAGGATGGAAATGGCTGGAAGGAAGGGGAGCCCTGTTCATTGAAACCTGATGCGTCCAGGCAGGCAGAGGCAGGTGGCCTGGCACTCCTGCTGGGCTTGCTTCCTTGCTTGCTTGCCTGCTTGGCTGGCGTTCTCCTAACTTGAGCCACCATCCCTCCAGCCCTGTGGTTTTAGGTTTGATCTGTGTCTCTCAAAATATGCTCCATTGGCCCAGACTTTGCTGTGGTAGGTACTCTGCCTTCCTTCCTGTCTAGGAGACTGAAGAAAGATGCTCCCAGAGCTTTCCATCAGTGAGAGCTACACAGAAACTTACCTTAAGAGCAAATGTGGAGAGACACAGCTATAAGAAAGGCAAGAGAGCAGTGGATCTTCGGGAGGGACTGAAGAGGGGCAGGAATAGAGAAAAATCAAAGAATGTGCTCTTATTTGGAGAAACAGACCACCAGGGGAAGAGATTTGAGATCATTGTTCCCAATAGTGAATCTTGGACCACTGTGGACCTTCGATCCTGGGCTTTGGGGTCTGAGAGAGCTGGGTGTGAGTCCTACCTCCTTCACTTTCTTCCCCTGCAGTGCTTGAAGAAGCCACGTGGCCTCCTTGAGTCTCTTTACCTGTAAAGTAGTGATAAGAATTTCAGTTGGGTGGAGTCACTCTGAATAGTAAGTGTGGGAACAGTCCCCAAGTGGCTGGCGCCCTGTGTGCTACAGGTAGGGAGAAGAGGCTTACCACATTTTATATGTCCTCATCCCAACTAAGAACCTCATTTTGCCACTATTGCTTGGGTCCAGACAGAAAGGTTGGCTCTTGGGGAGAAGAGGGTGGAGTGGTCATGTGTGGTATGCAGACACACAAGGGAGTTGTGTTACCCTTTGTTCATAGAGGTCTCACAGAACAACTCTGGCACCTTTCCTATAAAGCTCCACTGATATGTCAACTGGACCTGTCTCCTGAGATTCTAGTGTGCTCTGTCACTCTAAACTCTTAGTGGAGCTGGGAAGAAATACTGTGCTATCTGACTAGAAAATATGGACTCAAACCCAAGTCTGAGACAGACACCAGTAGTTTACATCTATAATCCTAGCTACTCAGGAGACTGAGATCTGAGAATCGTGGTTTTGAAGGCAGAAAAACGCCGGAGATTCCTATCTCCAATTAAGCACCCAAAAAACCAGAAGTGGAGCTGTGACTCAACGGGGTAGCACAAGCTTGAGCCAAAAAGCCAAGTGACAGAACCCAGGTTCTGAGTTCAAGTGGCCCAGAATTGACACAATTATTAATTATTCTAAGTCTGGAAAAATTTGGAGCCAAGATATTCTCTACACATTCAGTCAATCATGCCCCCTGCTTCCCATTCCTTCCACCAGCCTCATATCTACATAAGAGAAATTATTCTTGCTTTTGCCTTCCAACTCTCCAAGGATTTGTATAAATGGCTCTCCCTGGAAGCAAAGAGTCCCTACCCCTATTTATACAAAGATGCAACTAAGGTGCCACAGGGAATCATCCATCCTGAAAACTCAGGAAAGAGCAGGACCTACAGTGGAGACTTAGCACCAACCTCAATGGGATTCAGCATCCCGCAGGGTGATGAGCCATCCGTAAACGGCATCTTTGTTCAACCTGGGCTAGCAGGTGTTATAAAAGATGAGAGATAGAGGAGGGCGTTTTATCCTAGTGAATATATCAGTCCTCCATATTGAAAGAGGAGAAATTCTGAGCAATACCAATCCACAGAATTACTGAAAGAAAACTCTGGAAGTTGGCAGGGGGAAGAAAGCCTTTGAAAGGAGATGAGTGTGCCCATTTTCTTTTGTCTACAAGTGTGGAGATACCTGGAAGCTATTTCCTGGTAATTGTCCAAATAAAGTGGGCATTCTGACCAACAGATTGCTGAGGGTGTACCTCTTGCTGGGAGAGGGGGAAAAGAAAACATTGAAATTGGTTTTTGCTGCTTCTTAACTATAGAATTTATGTACCAGGCGCTACTTCTGATGCATTGGGAAAAAAATAATCTTTATGGATTTCTCATCAAACTTCTTTTGTAGAACCTCCCTGTTAGAAGCACCATTGTCTTTGCACTGGGCTTTATTTGTCTCCTTCCCCTTGGCTCAGTGCTCCTAGGTATCCATGCAGGGTTTGCCAGGATCCTGGGGCAGTAAGTGGTCTGACAGATAAAGACTGTAGCCTCCTATGTGGTTCCCCCACATTTCACATATACACCACCATGCTGGGGACTAAGGTTGGGGCATGAGAACCTTTGGGGGACACACCATGTGCAAAATGCCAGCAGCACTACAGAGGAGGAGTCTTACCCTTATACTAGGGTGTGACTTACACTAGGGTGTGACTTTTTAGGTTATATGGATGCTGTCAAGGGGTAGGTTCTATCTTTCTGCTAGCTAAATAATTAAAAGACAGGAACGTGTTTAAAGCAGACAAAGCAAGTTGATTTGAAAGTGAAGTGGAGTATATTCTCTCCATAGAGAGGGGCCACAGAGCTGACATGTCCCCATGGTGTGCTGTCTGAGAGTGATTGTTACAGTAAGGGGCTCCTCCCATACCTCTCCCTCTGGGCTCTGCCCTGATTACTTGGTATTGCATGCACGCATGCACTTGTATGTGTATTTCTCTGGTGTGTGTGTGTGTGTGTGTGTGTGTGTGTGTGTGTGTGTGTGTGTGTGTGTGTGTGTGTGTTATCCAAGCTCTTCTCCTTGGTTGAGCCAGAACACAGCCTTATGGGAAGAAGAAGCATTTCCTTGGGAACTCAGGGCATCATGGGAAGAAGAGCTGCCATGATGGACTGCACTATTATCTCTCTTGTGTTATGCCATTTTTTTTAGACCCTTGTCTTCCTAACCAAGGAGGCCCAACCCTCCCTCAGTGTATTCAAATGGAGGCAGAGAAGGACTAGAACCAGCCAGATAATATGTTTTGTTGTTGTTGTTTATAAGTGAAAGCACTGCGTGAATGTTTAGGAACAGATCTGAATTTACGGCTGGTTAACCAAAAGTGGCTTGGCAGATCCTTCAGGGCTGCTCTCTGATCCTCACACCCAGCCTTCCCTTCTCTTCCAGGCTGCAGATGCTGGAAGCCATCTGCAAACACTGGGAGGGGCCCATCAGCCTGGCTCTGTACCTGTCGGATGCTGAGGCCCAGCAGTTCCTCCGTTACGCCCAGGGCTCCGAGGTGCTCATGAGCCGCCACAACGTGGGCTACCACATCGTGTACAAGGAGGGCCAGTTCTACCCTGTGAACCTCCTGCGCAATGTGGCCATGAAGCACATCAGCACCCCCTACATGTTCCTGTCTGACATCGACTTCCTGCCCATGTACGGGCTCTATGAGTACCTCAGGTAAGGACTCCTGGGGACCTAGCTGCTGCCCCCACTTTTCCAACCAAAGGCATGGAGGGTCCTGGGACAATGGAAGTGAAGAGAAAGGGACCTCCCTGCCTTAGTCTACCCAGAGGTAGAGCTCTTGCCTGAAAGCTTAGAAGAGACATTAGGGAATTTAAAGTTTCACTGTCCTGATAAAGAGTTTGCATAACGATGTGTTCCTATGATCTAGGACACATCCTTCTCATCTCTCCATCTAACCCTCTTTCTTTCACACCCGTGGAAGCATACTGTCCCCCTGTTTCTATGAGAGAAGGTTTTAGATTTACAAGCGGTTGACAAAGAGTGTCCTGACGTGAAGGAGCAGACAGCCTTCGTGTGAGCAATCCAAAAAAGAAAGATGGCCTGCTAGCCTTGAAAACAAATCTGGGTGATAAAATGCTTTGACATACTTATCATGTACAGAAGTGCTTGTTGTGTGCCAGAACAGTTGACAAGCAGAAAGCCATCGCCCTGTCTTGACAGTCCTGCCCCAGGTTCTATCCTGGTTTTCATTTTTCCAAACGAAAATGGAAGAAAGACTAGAAGTGTCTAACCCAGGTTATACAGCTAGCAAAGGAAGAGCTGGCTTAGAACAAGGCCTGCCCGACTCCAGGACCTGATGACTAATCCATGAGGCTCTCTGTGACCTCCAGTGTCCTTTCCCAGCTCTCCCTATGTAGAAAGGAAAGTGAGCAATGGCTGGGGAAAGCCGTCCAGGCTCAGGAAGCTGGATGGCTGCATGGGAGCAGCATTTTCTTAAATCAAATAAGCAATGTGAATTGGGAGGGCCATGGAATTCTTCCAGCCTAAAGGTTCCATTCTACATCAGAGTCCAAGGTATAAATAATCCTATGTTTTTAAAGGTTCTTCCCTTATCTCCTGTCATTTTTCAGCTGAGTTCTCTCTACAATATATCAAATACTTACCTAGATTCTGATACCATAAGCAGTTTATATAAATCAATCAACCCATATATCATATATATATGTCCATATATCTGTGTATCACATATATCTATATATCAATCCCCAAAAGCATGCATAGTTCCTCAGTTTTACAGCAGGAAACAGAGTCAAAGCAGCAAAATCACCTGCTCAGGTCCAGAAAGCATGAAGCAGTATTTGAACCCATGTCTGTCAGTTTCATACTGGTCCGGCTATTCTGTCTCATAGAGGTCAGGATATGATTCTTTTCTCTGCTGACTTCTTTCCCTGCCCTTCTCCATCTGTCTCTCTCTCTTGATTCTTCATGTCCCTAAACCCTGCCCTCTCTCAACAGCTCTTAGAGTCTCACATGCCCCTACCCTGTTCTCTCCAGAGCAAAAGAGGATGCAGAACTCTGTTCTGTATCCAGGTTCTGAATCAGTTTCCTTCTAGGGTGTGCTGTGGTTGCATAGTTTCAGTCCTCCCCCACTCCACCCCCACGAGCAGAGAATTGCCCTGCCAGCCTCTCTGAGAACCACTGCGTGAGAGACCCTCAGCCATGGAGGGACTATGATGCACAGCAAGGTAAACCAGAACTCCTGACTCCCACTGGGCTTCCTACACAAGCCTTTTCAGCTCCTCCAGCACTAGAATCTCAGTCTGTTGGACAAGATCGCCCCCATGTGTCCAGATGAATCTCAGCTCTGATGAGCCACTAGGAAAAAGGGGCAGGTTGTGGGATGACAGGTTGCCAATGGAACAAGTAGGGGGTGAGAGCCACCCTTGACCTGGATCAAGGAAAGAAAGAGAGGCTACAGGGCTGCATCTGCCAGTCCTCCCATCTTTTGGTCTTCTCCTCCAACACCCCTGAGGGGCCTTCGGTCTCACGAGTTGGAAGTGAAACAGGATGCTGTGGCCCCGACTGTCCCATCCACGGGCAACATGTTCTTTAACGGTACATAACAGGCTTTTCTGTGTGATCTCCCAATGTCTCACTGATCAAAGACGGTATGAACTGCTAATCAAGGCTACCCAGCGAGAGGTGATGGGTGTTGTCCATGGCCAGTTTGCTTGGTGCAGGGTGACTGTCTGTCTCCCCTCTAGATTTCTGCAGTATTGCAAATTGCTTCTCAAGCTCCCTGACACTCCCCACAGACCTTGACCCAGGAAGCTGAATACCATTCAGCAGAGAGACAGACCCCAGCACCTCCTCAGGGAGTGCCGTCTCCCCCCTCCAGATGTGGCACAACTGGTCTAGTGGACAGGAATGAACTTACTAAGTTTTCATCTTTTCCTCAGAGGTCTGATAATCTGGACCGACTTTTAATTAGCTGCTAATTTTACTTCTGAAGATCAGCAACTAATTAAAAATAAGTTGTTAAGGCTACTGAGCCAAAACAAACACATCTTCCCGTTGCTCCCACACACCGCCACCTGCCCCCACACCCAGACTGACAGTTGCCACTTCTTACCTACAAAATTCCTGGGCACCAGACTCCTGAGGTCTGTGGTTCTGTCTGAAGCCCTGAATAAACACTAGATGATCCTTTGGTATGTATACCAACCCTGTCAAATTGCTGCTGGCTAAGATTGAAGTTTTTGTCTAGTCAATGGTGAGGATTTGTTTCCAACCCACAAATTATCAGGTATAGCTCATGACCAGCTTTTTGTCCCTGGCTTGGGATGAATTTGAAGCTATTTGCTGTGGTCCCCATAGAGGCCAACAAGGCCAGAGGCCCCCATAGACCCAGATTTCCTCAGCATTGGTATCTGATAAAACAGACACCCATGCTCTGTTAAATGACTAAAAGTTTTAAAAATATATAAAAGAATGATTAGACCCTGCAAAAGGCAACTGCTTTCCATCTGTTACCTCTGTTTCTCACACTTGTAGCAGGTTAGCACTTGTACAGGTGATCACATTTGCCCTAGGTAAGTAAAAGTGCAAGCATCAGAAGAGAAAGGTAGCATTTAGTCCACCAAGCTGGCTCCCATCACAGACAGGACCACCTCATTCTCTAACCTGGGTAGCAGCCTTCTGGTCATACTCCTCCCCCCACTCACATCCCCCTTCTTTATATCTCCCTCAGTTTCCAAAAGAAGTTCAGCACCGGAGCTCTCTGAGCTGGTTGCCTAGCAACCAGCTAATAGTATAGCAAAAACAAACAGTTGAATTGGAGAATAATGAAGTCAGCCTATCTGCATGGACAGACCTGCAGAGTTTCACTAAAGTCCCAGTCCTCTACCTGTAGCTGTGGATGGGCAAGTCTGTGGATGGTAGCTTGTGCCCTGAGTTGCAGAAATGTCCAGTGAGAGGTGACAGAAGTCACTCAGACTTGCATTTGAACCCAGGGTCAGCAGAACTGATTGAGTATGTGACTTGGGACAGATGGTTCCAACACTTCAGCCCTCCTTCTCCTTAGGTAGCAAAGGAGCTAGTAATAGCCCTTCGCAAGGTCCTAGGTGCTCCACTAGAGTTCGTTTCTGTCCCATGGTAGATTCACAGCTCAGCACTGGACTTCTATGCCAGGACCTTGCAGACTCCCACTACCTTTATTGCAGTCAGGCATCTGCAGGGATCTCTTCTACTACTTCTCCTCTTACCAACAAGAGAAGTATATACAAGTAGTCCCTTATCACTTTCTATAGCTGCACAATGGATACATTTATGGCTTTTAAGCTTTATGATGATGCACAAACAGTATGCATTCTCAGTCTAGCAATATCCAGTATGATTCTTCTGGTGCTATGTAGCTGCCAGTCAGCCACACAGCCAGGTGAAACTGGACATGCTTGGATGGGGGGTAGGCGTGATGCTTGGTAGATGGGGTATACTGGGTGCATTTTCCATGTACCATGTTACAGGGCATGGTGGATGTAACTCCAACAACAGTCAAGGAGCGTCTTCACTCATAACAGCATCTACTTGGCGTTGGCAGTGGTACTTAACCTCCTCACTTTCCTTATCCGTGGGATGGGCAACAGGCTATTTCTTTCCTCATAGGCCCTGAGGATAGGAGTGATGTGACTTTGAAGCACCTCACCATGCCCAGAGTATGTGAGCACCTATCACATGTCTGCCACAGGCTCCAAGAGTGTTCTGGACACTGGAGCTGGCACAGTAGTCAGAATGGGCAGACGTCGTGCCCTTGAGTGGCTCAGTGTGCTTCTTAGGCTATTGCTGGAATCCAAAACACACACACACACACACACACAAGGTAAAACTAACAAGTGGCCAGATGTGGGTATGAGAGACAGACCTCCAAAAGAGCTGTAGTCAAGATCAGGCTTGGAGACTAACGCATCTAAAGGCAAGTAACAAAGGGACACCTTCAGGGGACTTGGAGACAGTTGGTATGAGAGGTTCTGGAATGACAGAGGTGTGGGGGATGGGCAGGTTTCTGATCTCTTCCACTTGAAGAATCTTCATCTCCGATCCACATCCAAAGGTTAAGTCATGTTTCTACTGTTCTCATTGCATTCATTTTTAGGAGGAAAATGGGCCCCACCGGCGGAGATGATGTTATATAGCATGTAGGAATGACAAATCAGTATCATTTGGTTCTTTTAGCTTACCACCTCCTCCCTTCTCCCATTTCCCGGCACCTAATGGCTTCTCGTAAGTACTTGTTGAGCAAGTGCGGAACTGTGGGCAAGGCAGAAGAGGCACCAAGCACAGCTGGCTGGAGGGCTGCCAAGGAATGCTAAGCAGGTGGCATTTCCTTGGGTTAATTCATCCTTTTCATTCTGCCATATCTGTAACATTTAATGTTTATCGAGCACTTACTACGTGCCAGACACTGTTCTAAGCACCCGTGCCTGCATTTCATCACGTAACCTGACGGGCTGCATTTTCCGGATGATAATGCTCAGGCTGAGCTCTGTGCCCGAGCGTCCCGTGTTACCACGTGGGCACCTGGCTTAGTCATGCTGGACACTCTGGGCCCAGCCAGGTAGGCTCTGCGCTGAGCCTGCTGATTGTTCCAATTCGCCTGATAGAGCCAGGTCCAATTGCCTCATGACCAAAATGATCACCACAGCCTGCTTACCTGT